ATTTGAGGTATGAATCTGTTATCTTAAGCATAAAATATATTTGAGAGTTGTGATCAACTTTGAGGAAGTGGAAGCAAGCTTAGATATGGACCTATCACAAGGATATGGTTCCAGATCTGGACCTTCTTAGGCCCCAAATATCATAAAGTTGCATCTTTTATTGAGCTCATTCCCTCTCCATGCATAAGAACCTTGTTTGAAGGTTGGTTTTGGGTGTTATGGCCATGTGAGGCTATGCATGCACGTAAAGTTTGCAACTTTGCGTGATATCTGCAAAAGGAGATGATGGATCTAAAGTTTGGGACCTTAAGTCCCACTGGAAAGGACCGTAATCATGATGAACTTTGGGGGACTCGACGAGTCGTGCAAGTGACTCGGCGAGTCGAGAGGGTTTTCTCGTTTACGGCCAAGAGTGTATGGACAAGAGTGTACGGCCAAGGGTGTTCGGCCAAGGGTTTACGGTCAGAGGTGTACGGCCGTACACACCAAGGAAATCGACGAGTCCCTCGGGTGACTCGGCGAGTCGACGAGTTAAGCAGGGAACCCGACGAGTGAATGATTGTACTCGACGAGTCAAGGTCAACATGGACTGTTAACCTTGACTATAGACTATGACTTTGACCAGGGTTGACCCTGGGGGTATTTATGGGATTATGCTGAGTTACTTACTCATTGATTATAGGCGGTTTGGGAGGAGCAACGTGGGATATATCTGACTATAGTTTGCCAGTTCAGCCTTTGAGATGTGAGTTTTCTCACCATACCAATGGGTCTAAGGCACCAAGGCCGACCCATTTTGTGATAGTTGGTTCATTTGTTATGTAGAGGTGTAATATGTATGTGTGCATGATATGTGGTAGAGATAGCCTTCGTGGCTAATGGTAGAGATAGCCTTATGGCTAATGGTAGAGATGGCCTTATGGCTAATGGTAGAGATAGCCTTTGTGGCTAATGGTAGAGATAGATCATGGTTAACTGACATGTGATATGTGGTAGAGGTAGCTTTATAGCTAATGTGATACGTGGTTTGTGTGGGGTATGCTCTGGGGGACTCACTAAGCTTTCATCTTACCGTTTGTGGATTTGTTGTAGGTCCATCGGAGTCCAAGGGCAAAGGCAAGGCGTGATGATGCGGCGTGCACTCTAGCTCTCATTTCCGACCTGGTTGGGGGGACACTCTGATGTTTTGGAAATAATAATGTTGTAATGTTTGTGGTTTGAAAACAATTATTGAAACCTTTATGTTTTATGAAAAATGGTTGACTAATTAAAAATGAAAAAAAAAATTCTTTGTAAAATTTGGGTCGTTACAAAACTTTGATGATTAATGAAATATATATGCTCGTGGGCGAAATGTGTGAAAAATAAACTACTAATATTCAAGGTTGACTTCGACAAAGCGTTCGACTCAGTCAACTGGGAATATCTTGATTATATCCTTTCACAGTTGTGATTTGGTATAGATTGGGTTGTTAGACTCGTGGTTGTCTAACTTCATCTCGAGCTTCTGTCATTATCAACGAATCACCAACGAAGGAGTATGAAATAACTAAAGGAGTATGTCAAGGTGATCCCCTCTCACCTTTCTTATTAATAATAGCCATGGAAGGATTGAATGTCGCACTCAAATTCGCATGTGAAAAAGGAATTTTTAAAGGAGTTAAACCAAGCAACGATACATTGCTCTCCCATCTGTTTTATGCCGATGATGCACTCTTCATTGGGGAGTGGATTCGATCCAACCTTAAAAACCTCACGTGTATCCTTCATTGTTTACATGTTTCATCTGGACTCAATGTGAACTTTCATAAATCTAGAGTCTTTGGAATTGGGACAAACATCCAAGAAACCACTAATTGGGTAAATATACTTGGGTGCGAGGAGGAGAGCGTTCCTTTCAACTAACTTGGTGTTCCAGTCGGATCCAACATGAATCTTGTT